CGGGGCTGCGAGCATGTCAGACGACGAAAAGGCCACTTTCCGTAACAACTACTTGCGAGCAAGCACTCAAACAGCCTGCCCCCCAATGTAGTAAACAATTGCCCGATGTGCTGAAAACCCATCCCTGCCGATGTTTTCTGCACGTCCATCACCCATTTCAATGCGAGCAAGTAGTCAAATAGCCTCTTACCTTAAATAGGCATGCGTTGCCCGATGTGCTGGAAACCCACCCCTGCCGATGTTTTCTGCACGTCCATCACCCATTTCAATGCGAGCAAGTAGTCAAATAGCCTCCCCTCTAAAAACGGCATGCGTTGCCCGATGTGCTGAAAACCCACCCCTGCCGATGTTTTCTGCACGTCCGTTGTTGAGAACATGACTTTTGTACCACGCGCGGGAATCAACCGCGAACCCAGTAGTAGTAGTAGTAGTAGTAGTAGTAGTAGTAGTAGTAGTAGTAGTAGTAGTAGTAGTAGTAGTAGTAGTAGTAGTAGTAGTAGTAGTAGTAGTAATAGTAGTAGTAATAGTAGTAGTAATAGTAGTAGTAATAGTAGTAGCAGCAGCAGCAGCAGTAGTTGTAGTAGTAGTAGTAGTAGCAGTAGTAGTAGACAGTGAGCAGTAGGCAGTAGGTAGTAGGTAGGGATAGGGTGCCGGTGGCGGTAGGGGTAGTGGTAGTCACAGTAGTAGCAGTGGTACATAGTAGGAAGAGCAGGAAGAAGCTGGTGGCGACAACTGCTTTTACATAAGATCGCTGCTGTTACTGCTTCTTGTTCCTGTACCACTACGCCGTCACTACGCCTACTCATGCTACCATTCCTCCTGCAAGTGACCATCCACTGATAGCCCATGGGGAAGCGCGTCACCTGCTCAATGAAGGAGTCACGCACTTTGGTGCGTACACTGAGCTCCAGCTCGTTCACAGAACCGTACCATTCGACGATGGAACCTTCGAGAATCTCCTTGGTTAAAGGCATGCAGGACAAGTCAAAGTCTCCTTTACAGCGGAGCAATGCCAAGCCAAGGCTCCTTATCGCAAGGAATTTGGTTGCCTCGTGAATCCCTGTGATTCGTCGAACAACAGTAGCACGTGACCTTCTGAAAGCTGAAGGTGCCAAATTGCTTCTCCGCCTCCATGACAGTTTGCCAGAGTCTCTGAAAAAGCCAGATGTTAGGCAGCGAGGAGAAGACAAAAAGGAATATCCGCAGGAAGGCAACCTCATCTGTATCCGGAAGGCAAGTTTCAAAGAGCAGTGTGAGCGCGGTAGTCACCGCCATGAGGAAGGTCATGGGTACCAAGACTGTGGGCTTGATGACAAGGCTGGTCTGAGGGTCTTCACGATGAGCGCGGAGAAATGCCGCAAGCTCGAAGACACACCATAGCCTCCAGCGTTTCAACTCGAAATCGACTCCGACCCAAGCCCCTTCCTTAAGCCTGGGGCTCGCAGATTTGCGTAAGACCTCTGGGATTCTGGCGTCTTGAGGGTTTGAAGGATTGACACCTCAAACACCTGTGGATAGACGAAACAGATTACGATTCAAGATTCCATCGTTCTTGGACTGTTGATCGCTGCTCGTTCGATGGAGAAGGGGAGATTTGAGGACGACTCTGTTGCGGAACAGAGGGCTTTAAATGCACAAGATGTAGGCCCAAAACTCTGACCCAGGGTGTCTACGAAAAGCCTGTGGAAAATGATGACTGGCAGCTCAAAGCTCGAGACCATAACATGTGTTTCCGAACTTTAAAGAGTTGCCCGAGCCCTGGAGGCTCCCTGCGGAGGGCAAATCCCTTCGGCAAGCTTAAGAAAGGCTTGTTATCTTGGTGCTTCTCTGGCTCGTGCGTAAGCTTCCGTTCTAGAAGCTCGCCTTATTCGATCGGCTTTACGTTGGTGGAACCGACTGAATTTATGCAATTTGGCCTGGAGAGATATGACGGGTCCCAGACCACCACCAGCGACCGAGACTTCTTCAGTATGGCGCCGAGGTTTAGGATACCCTCTGCTTTCAACCTTCAGGGCAGCAGTCTGATTTACAAACACAACTTGGGGCTGTATAGGGCGTGGGAAAGGTGTGTCTTTGAAGCCCCAAGTTCTGCAAGCTTTCAGTTTTTGGAGTGTAGGAAATGCAATCCTGGGCCAAGTGCACTTGGGGGTTCCGGGACCAGACGCCTTCGGATCCCCCGAAATCGGAGGCTCTGCAGCGTTAATATCGAAGCCTTCAGAATAACAATCATGATAACAACAACAAGAAGAAGAAGATTAATACCAATAACGATTACAAAAGGGCTTGGAGAAGTGTATTGACCCCAGAGACCCAGTGAGCCTAGGCGTTGGCTTCTACAGGAGCTGAAGGGAGCCTACCATAGCAGCTACGTGCAGTACATTACATGATGCTCAATGTTGCAAGTTAACTTCGACAGCCTAAGCTCCTTTAACAGAACCCTGAAAAGAACCTATGACATGCTTACAAGACTACCATTGGAAGACGCCCATCAAGACCTTCCTCAACACCTCGTGTTTCCAGGCCTCGGGTCGCCTTGATGGATACATGCACGATCCAGGAAGACCTGGTCCAGTTCAGGTCACGTCCGTAGGTTTCGGTGTTTTGGAATTTCAGGATGTCGATTTTCCAGGTTATACCTGACAAGACTTGAAACCCAAAGTGATGACGAAGACCGGCCTTGCTCGAGGACTGCCAAAAAAGCAGGAGTAGCAAGGCTGAAGCGCATCCAGTGAGATTCGACCATGGGCTAAATCTGAACCTCAGGCTCACAGGAGGCCCTGCATGCTACTTGCAAAAACAGCTGCCAAACCTCGCTCTGAGAGTGGATGCATGCCGGTTTATGAGCTGCACCATATCTGCCAGAAAGCTCTCCGCTATAGCCTGGTCCCTGGACTCGTGGCTCCTTGTACCTTGCCATCCCGAAGCTTTGGGAAAAGCTGTGCAGCTCCCACATGCTGTCATGCCACTAGAAGGATGCCACGGATTAAGTCATGCTGCCGACCATTGTCAACAGGAGTAGTCGTCGCCGTACTAGATAGTAGTAGCGGTAATACCACTAGTAGTAGTAGTAGTAGTAGTAGTAGTAGTAGTAGTAGTAGTAGTAGTAGTAGTCGTAGTCGTAGTCGTAGTCGTAGTCGTAGTCGTAGTCGTAGTCGTAGTCGTAGTCGTAGTAGTAGTAGTAGTAGTAGGAGTAGGAGTAGGAGTAGGAGTAGGAGTAGGAGTAGGAGTAGGAGTAGTAGTCGTAGTAGTAGTAGTAGTAGTCGTAGTAGTAGGCGTAGTGGTAGTGGTAGTGGTAGTGGTAGTGGTAGTGGTAGTGGTAGTGGTAGTGGTAGTAGTAGTAGTAGTAGTAGTAGTAGTAGTAGTAGTAGTGGTAGTAGTAGCAGTAGTAGCAGAGGTGTAGTAGTAGCAGTAGTAGTAGTAGTAGTAGTAGTACTACGGTGGATGATATAAATCCTGCATGACCCATAATAAGGAATATATGGGCGTTATGGTATATTCCTTAGTATGGGTAATGCAGGATTTATATCACCAACAGTACTACTACTGCTGCTACAACTACAGCAAAGCTACAGCTACAACTACTGCTACTGCTGCAACAACACTCCTCCGACGGCGACGGCGACTACTGCTATGACTGCGAATGCTACTGCTACGACTACTCCTGTCCTGCAGCTGCTGCTGCTGCTGCTGCTGGGCAAAGGTTTTTTCTTAGGTGCGGCTCGGCTTTGGTGCGGCTTGGCTTGGCTGTGCCGTTAAAGCCACGCCCAGCCGCAGCAACGAAAAAAAACTGTCGAGCCAAGCGTGTTTGTTTTGCTTTTATGGGGTGCGGCTCCGCTTTGGCGGCATGGCTTGGTTCGGTTTGGCTTGTCTTGGCTGTGTTTTGGTGTTTTCACTAGGTTCGGCTAAGCTTCTTTTGCTAAGGTGCGGCTTTGCGTTGGTGTGGCTCGCCTCGGCCAGGTTTATTTTCTCCTAGGTTCGGCTCGATTTTAGGGCGACTCGAAATACATCAAAGTATTTGTTTGTTATTTAAACATGTATCGCAGATCATTTCTACTGTACAAATAGATAAATAAATACGAATATATATATATATATATATATATATATATATATATATATTTCCCCCCCTCCAAAGATCCGCGCTTTTTGGCGTTATTCGGAAAGAACCCCCTCAAATAGGACTCAAACAATCCGAAAGAGCCCTTCCATTCCACAGCATTGCCTGAAAGCCCTCGGTTCCCACATCACCTACAATACCATGTACATGCAATTTGTTTGAACCCTCATGTATGTCTCTCTATGCGTATGGCGTATGGTACACGGGTGATGGACACAAAGCATAAACTTACAGAGGGAGGAATATACGAATACAATCAAGCACCACGACATCTGAAACGAAAAAGACAACGACAATGTGGTGTCTTGACATCGGGTGATCGGGGATTGAGACAAACGATGGCACAATGATCGTGACGGAGATGACGATGCCGCGAAGACGCTGATTATGATGGTGTTGAAGACGAAGATGGTGATGTCTGTCATGAGAATGACGGTGAGTTTTAAGGGCGCGCACCACAGACCCATGTCAGTCATTGTGGCATGTGGATGAAGTCCGGTGGTTCTCTGAGACTCCATGCGTGAGGGAAAAGGCATTCTATAAGGCCTATAAAGGGAATAGTATGGCGTATTTCTTTTAAGTACTCCATAGGAAACTCCATACGGCATTGTGGGAACTTAAGGCGTTATATAAAGGATGGTACAAGGCATAAGCATAAACGAAAAATTGTATTATAGAAAATATTCTGTAACGTATTGTATAGGCTATAGGGTATTCAACAAGGTTCATAAAAGGTATATAGTGCTTGGATAGTCTAGGGTTATCTATATGAAACTCTTTAAGATGTAAAGAAGGAGTATCGTGTAAGGCATTCTTCATTGGGCGCATAGCAGGTATAGTGCAGAGCATTCTGCTCCAGATTTTCCCCTCATTAATCTATTCTACAACGCATTCTATGGTGCATCCTACGGGTACTTTATAGAATATTCCATAGGGTTTCTTTACGACTTCCTATGCGGTACTCAAAGGGTGTGATCGACACTGGGTATTCTGTAAGCTAGTCCGTAGGGGATTGCAGATGATATTCTGTAAGGCCTATGAAGGGCATAGTATGTAACGTATGTTTTGGGCGCTCTATGGGGTGCTCTATATATATAACACATTGTATAAGGGATTGTACAAGGCATCAACATAAAGGTAAAAGTTGTCTTATAGAACGTACTCTATAACGTAATGTGTAGGGTCACCTGTACGAAAGTCGTTGAGGTTGGTGGTATTCTCTAGAATATTCTTCTCGATTCCTGGATCACTCCTAGAAATCCCTTACCAAATAGGCTGCTTCTTTTTGAGGGGTTCTCAGATCTTGGGCTCGTCCTGATTGTCCTCCTATATATCCTTTGTTTGTAAGGTTATCTATAGGTATTCTTACTTCCCAAATACCTATGGGAGGGGTAAAAATATTCTTCTCGATTCCTGGATCACTCCTAAAAATCCCTTACCAAATAGGCTGCTTCTTTTTGAGGGGCTCTCAGATCTTGGGCTCGTCCTGATTGTCCTCCTATATATCCTTTGTTTGAAAGGTTATCTATAGGTATTCTTACTTCCCAAATACCTATGGGGGGGTAAAAAGTTTAAACTTTCGCAATAAGACTACCTTATAAGGGACCAAAATTGAAAAGTTTGGTTTTGAACCACCAAGTATTATATGGGAGCAGTATATACTATATACAAGGACTGTCATATATAGGGCCATAGGGGCATTCTATAAGGTCTTCTATAGAGTATTCCAGATGATCTTCCATGAAGCGCACGATATATATATAGAGGGTATCATGTGTTCCATAAGGTATTTTGTAAGGTACTCTATGTCCTATTCTGTAAGGTACTCTAGGTATTCTATAGATATAAAGGCTATGACTGAAAGTATATCATAAGGTAGCCTAGAGGCTCTAGGGTGTTCAATAAGGCAGGAGGGTAGTCTATATCAGTGTATTCCATATGAAAGTTTTTCAGATACTTGTACATAGAGGAGGTATTCCAAAGGATATCCTATGAGATATTCTATATAGTGTCTTGTATAGAGTGTCCTATAGGGTATATGTAATATAAGGCGTGCGGGGTGTATCATACATAGGCGGTCTTGTATAAGGTAGTCGACAGGATATTGCAGATGGATTTCTATAAGATTTAAAGGTTATGAGAGTGGAAATGTATTCTAAAGGGCAATATACGGGTTAAATACAAGGTATTGCACACGTAGGCTTAAGTATCAGGCGCTGCGGAACGGCTCACAGTGTGGCATGCACCAAACGATGCAGGATTGAAACTGGATTGAAGGATTGAATTTCAATCCGAAGCCGGATCCAAGATCCAAGATTCTCCCGGGAGTCTTTGGGCAGAATCTTGGATTCGGATTGAAACTGGATTGAAGGATTGAATTTCAATCCGGGCCCGGATCCAAGATCCAAGATCCAAGATTTCGCCCACAGAGTCCTGGGGAATCTTGGATATTGGATCCGGGCCCGGATTGAAAATTCAATCCTTGAATCTAGTTTCAATCCAGTCCACAGAACTGCCAAAACTTAACGGACCTTGTGTCTGTGTGTGCGTGTGCGTGTCTGCTAAATGTTGGGGTGTTCACGTGGGAAGACAGACATACAAACGACATGAAGAACAAACAGGCAGGGATTGCACACGAAGAGCTCCAGACAGAGCCAAAAAGTGTGGATCTTTGGGGGGGGGGAGGGGTACCATATATATATATATATACATACGTATACACATGTATGTATGTATATATATATTTATATGTATATATATATATATATACATACATATACACATGTATGTATGTGTGCGTATTTGTTATGCAGCATTCACTGGATATTGCACACATACGTACTTTTAGCAGTTGCACTCGAACTCAGCAGGCCATACATATATACCCACATATATGCAAACATATATGTATGTAGACACAGACATGTAAGTACATACTCGTTTTATTGAAGAAGTGAGCTGTATGTAGTATTGACCTATGTATACTATGTGTACAATATGTATCTGTACATACATGTTGTATAGGTTGCATTTCAAGATTGCGTAAAAATTACACTGTCTGTGCATATGGAGAGTATATTATTACAACGGCACAAAAAGCCTAACTTACAGATCCTAAGGCAGATCAGTATGGGAACCTGATGTGGACGTTAGTGTGTATAAAGTTAGTGCAAAGTACGTGCACTATGTATACTATTTATATGTATGTACATACGTATGTTTAATATATACATACATACATGTATAAATATGTGTATATATATATATATAGAGAGAGAGAGAGAGAGAGAGAGAGAGAGAGAGAGAGAGAGAAAGAGAGCGAGCGAGCGAGCGAGCGAGAGAGAGAGAGAGAGAGAGACGAGAGAGAGAGAGAGAGAGACGAGAGAGAGAGAGAGAGAGAGAGACAGAAACAGCAAGGGGGAGAGAGAGCGGCCAAACTATTGTCCAGACTAAATAAAAGAGTACGAAGCATGGAACCTTGATATAGTACAGATCCTTATAAGCATATACCATGAAAATAGATATGCACAGATGTATATTACATAAATACGGAGATACAAAACACGCTACAACACAACCGAATGCACGATAAACACGTACAAAAACAATACAGATAGTAACATGTAATTCGCAAAAGCACGATGCACTTAATATAACGAGAGATCATGTAAAATTTCACAAAAGTATAATGTCGTACTGTGATAGAACATGATATCTTATGACATCACATAGCACGTCACAATGTACTGTAGATCCTTCGTTATCATAAAACACAAAGCTCAGTTGTTGGTGTAGTGTATTCTCATTTAACACTGCCGATTTGTAACACACCTACAAACTTGCAATCAGATGTGACATGGTGCATGTTGCAATGTTGTGGTGTATCTTGAAGTACTATGTCGATATAGTAGTTTATACCTTTTCACAGAATAAGTTCATCTAGTATATAGACTGATAATTGTACTATACTATGCTAAGACCTACTATGATCTACTACAAACTGGTATAATGTAGCATAGCACAAAACAAAACATGTCATACTAAAGCAAGAAACAGCTGGTATACTGACATTTAGTATGATATGTCTGTGCAGCTAACATACCACCAATGAAAAGGTTGGAGGCCTTGAACAAATGTTCTTCTTGCGCTCTTTAACATCTTGGTTGACACTACTTGCATTCTCACATGTTCTCATCACGCCCTCTGCGCCGCTCCGTTCAGCAAAACAGAATGTAGCGTCTTGACATCCAATCACTGAGCAGGCTGTCTTAACAATGGCTCGGCTTGGTCTGGCTAGGCTTGGCTTGGCTCGGCTGAAGCGGTGCGAGGGGTTGGGGGACAGCGGGCCGCTTGTCCACTCCCAGCACGGACCCTAATGTTTCATTGGTATGAGTTCGTGAAATATTACAATATTTCATGAAATGCAGAATTAGTATGTTGTGTTCCATGATAGGGATATGTTAATACAATATATACATACTTATAACTACCCTGCTATCCTATATATGTTGCTATGCGATAATACAGTATTGTACAATAGGACATCTCTTAAGATATTGCAAAAGATGTTTATGTAAGCCGAAACCTCTCTAATCGGCTTCTAGATTTTGTTGCGTGAGCTCTAACCGCACCTCAAGCAAAAACTTCAAGCCGAACCAAGATGCACTCCACTGCTCCTTGAGAGCCAAGCCGAGCCAAGGCGCACCTACGAAAAACGCCTGCAAAGCCAAGGGTGGAGTCTTTTTTGTTCGGCGCGGCTGGGCTCGGCTTGGCTCTGAGGCAAAGCCGCAGCGACCCATCCCAGCCAAGCCGAGCCAAGCCGCACCAAAGCCGAGCCGAGCCGCACCAAAGATAACAAAAACCCCGGGCTCGTGCTGCTGCTGCTGCACCATGATAAAAATCATACTGCTAAAAGAGGAACAACAACAACATCAGCAACATCAGTTGCAACAACAGCAGCAACAACAACAACAACGACGACAGCAACAACACGCTAATGATACAACATTAGTCTGTAGCAATAATAGCATTACTGTTCATGCATTGGCATTAGTAACAATACTAACTACGGACAACTATGATAGCAGTAATGATAATAATAACGGTAGTGACAATGATACTGATAGTAGAAGACGGACCCATACTAATGATAGCAACAACAATCACAAGAATAACAATACATCTGGAAATAGTTTTAACATGCGGAACACGACTATACAAGTATTGCTGCTAATATTCGTATTATTTAGTGTTATTGCTCATAGAGAAATTTCCGGCACTATTACTGATGTAACGACACATGTCCTTATTGATTTCAGCGTTAACTTCGCACGGTCGTATCATTTCATGACCGCAGTAGCCATTTGAACAACAGCCTTACAGCTATAGCTACAAGCTACGCACACGTTCCAAAATTCATCCAGCTTAAGCATGGACAGGGTCCGGGCGACTCACCGCAAGACAAAATAACTTGCTGCATTGGTGTTAGTAGAAGTAGAAAAGCATGACGTGTAGTCCCAGCTTCCATCCTGGAAGGAGGTCTGTGTACGAGAGATATGAAGCGACCAACGCCATAAGTGTGCCACCGACGCAGGCAGCACGCCCGTTTTTGAGCATAAGTAGCAGCCACACCTGCAGTGCTGAATTGCAGCCAGCTACCCTCAGTGCTGAAAGAAGAGACTCAAAGCGGAAGAACCTGACTACCATAAGCAGTTTACAACAGGAAAGTCCACTGCATGGGCCCCATAACAATGATAAGTTGTCTGCTCTCTCCCACGGAATGACTTAGAGTCAGAGCCGTTGCGGTCGCTCAGGTGCTCTGGAGGCCCCAAAGCCCTGCAGCTCGAAAACCGAACAATTAAACCGAGTACGAGCAGGTTGAACGTGTAAGGCTCCAAGACGGGAACCTCCACAAGTGCCCATGCCAAATCCCCAAAAGCCCCCCAGCAATTCAATGCTCGAACTGGGAAACCGAAGGTTTGCCAAGTTTGGGCCGAGGCTTTGGAAGCTTTGGGACTTTTGGCGCTCGGTGAAGGATCTCTGCTCTCAGCCCACAACTTGATCCTTGAGCTAGCTCGGAGGGTTTGGATGCGGAGGTCCGTGGCTTCCTTTCCAGGTCTCTGAGGGGTTGTGGGGCTGACTGAGTTCCAGATTGTTGGGCGGTTCTGGGCGCGAGAGGTTCCAGGGGCCTTGGAAGTATGTGTGGATCCCCTCATATCCGAAACAGCCTGAAGGCAGGGCTTCGAGATTCGGCCTTGAAAAATAACATGCTCTGCCAGCTGTGGGACCAGAACTCATCGATAGAGTGCACCTGCCGCTCAAAAGACTTAGATTTTCAATATGCGACCTGATACTGCCTCTTCCGACTGATCCAACAATCGTCACGGTCACCGTCGTCCTCCTCCTCCCTCCTCCTCCCTCCTCATCACCACCATCATCAGCAGCATCAACAGCATCGTCGTCATCATCATCATCACCATTTTCATCACCGTCATCACCATCGTCATCAACAAGTCCCGCCCCACCACGATGCCAGTAACACCTGCACAGTAGTTGGTACGTCAGCGATGGCACCGACGATGCAGGAGCCAGCGGCTCCCAGTGGTTGTGTCCGATACCAGTGCGGAATTCGGAAGGAGTTTGCACACACCGCCAGCTGGGCTTGGTAGTCCACTGGTAAGTCACGCTTAAGCTAGCGGCAAATGGGGACGACCTGCCGAAACTTCCAGAGATACCATGCAAAGGTAGAGCAGCTCAACTTTGCTAATATGCTTGCTTCCGTGACCAACCAGGCGCAAAAGACAAAGCCACTGCTTGTCTAGAGCGACCTGGATTCAAACATGTTGTAGTCACACCACCCAGGCGGGAGACACTATGGCGGCTTGCTGCAACCGCAAAACCAAGCTTTGCCGTGTTCAACATGTCGTCGTCGTCATTGTCCCCTCTGCAACGCCGCAACACATCCATCGACGTTACCATCACCATGCATCATGACTACCACCACCAACATCACCAACTTCATATCTGCATTACCGTTTTCGTCTTCATCCTTACCACTATCATCGCCAGCATCACTTCTTATCAAACCCGTGACCCCATGGTACCGTAACCCTCGCCAAGACCACCATAGTCATAATCCTTGTCATCGACACCCTCATTATCGTCATCATCACGATCATCATCATCGTGGGAGTGGCCATCGCCATCTTCCTCGTTGTCGACAGCTCAAGAAATGATGTCCACATCGTGCAGTAGCCACTGGTAGGCAGTTCCCTAGAATGATAAGAGAGTTCCTCCGCAGAGCTCTAGGCTTCTGTGAGTTCACGGGCCAATGCCACATGCAGTTAGTTTTTTCCTGCCTGGGAACTCAGCGAGTAGAGCTCCTCTGGGTCCATCTTGCTTCCTCGGAGAACTTGGCCGAAGCTTCTCAGTATTGCCCAGGCAGGTGCGGCACGGATGAAGCTGGCATCGGTACAACCTCGGATGGGTTCATGATCCTCAACCATCAAGGTTTTAACTTCCCTAAAGTGTCAGGCACACCCTTGATTGCGACCCCCTGAATCAACTCCAGGCGCTGTCCATGTCAGACACAGCTCTCACCACTATCTGCTTCTCCTCTTCCAGGAACTCTCGTCGGCCCGGCTGCTCCTCCTGGCCGACTTCCGTCTGCAGCCTGTGGCGATAAACCAAAAATGCTTCTAATGTAGGGCGCCTCAAAAAAATCCAAATATATTACCTTTGTGTGGACTTTCGGGCGGAACCGGTATCCAAAACAGTAGCAAAAGCGCACGGCTTTGGTGTCCAGCAACGGATCGGGAGAGCTCACCCTTTCCCCGCGTGGGGAACTGTCGTCGTTCATCTCCGGCACCTTCCGGTCCATGTAGACACCTTCCGGTGCGATGGGTGGTGAATCATCATCGGCTGCCATGGCTGTCTAAAGCCGTAAAAAGCAGAAAAAGAGAAAAAAACCCTCTGCCTAAGGCAGGTGGCCTCTTTTCAGCTCCTGAGCCGATTCTGGCAGACGGCCACGGCCAATCTAATATGGCGGCATTGATAATTAGAATAGGGATTTAGGGTCCATTATACTACACTTGTAATAAGGAACCCCCCGAAATAGTATAGGAAACCAATAATTAAGGCCCATATATTGCTTGTCTTGATCGAAGGTTGTAGGGTCGCTAGCGTATCTGCGAGTCTTTTGACTTCCCAGGTTTACTCCCGAGAGACGAGCGATGCTGAGGCAGGTCGACTACAGAAGCCTGCACGAGCATCGCAAGCGAAACACAGCAGACCGGCGCGCGCACACACACACACGCACCCACACACACACACACAGACAGACAGACACACAGACACACAGACACACACAGACACACACAGACAC